GATGCATAAAGGATGCATTGAAAGATATATGAGAGCATAATGTAAAGATGAGAAATCATGTTAGAAAGAAGTAAATTAAGATATCAAAATAAAGAAAATCATGGCATTAAAAGGGAAATAAATCAAGATGCTAAAGAGGATTGAAATCGTGATATTAAAGGGGAAGAAAATTAGGAAGTTAAAAGATTAAATAAATCATAGTACTAGAAAGGAAGCAAATTAAATTAAATAATGAAATCATATCATTTGTAATTAATTGTAATTAATTAATTATTTCATTTTCTATCATAAAAAATCTCTATCTATAGTGGTTATTCAATGAAAAATATCCGTCAAAATCATTCTTAACATGGTTTCAGAGCTTTAGGTTAAAAAATTCCTAAATTTTTTATAAATGTTATTCGACATTCATTATCGAAATAAAAAAACCTAAAAAGGGTCAGCTTTTATAACCGACCACCACCCTTCTGCTGCCATCCACCACAGAACCGATCACCTCCACCAATAGCCAACCTTTATAGTTGGCCTTAGAACCAGTCACTGCTCCCTATAGCCACTACTCTCCAACAACTGTCCACAAGCATGCACCGTATTACATAACTCCCTCTGTCGCTTTCATCGCGACCAAATACGAACCACTTCATGTAACCATTTAATTTTGGTAAAATCATTCCAGTTATTTTGTGACGATTATTTATTATCCAATACTTAAACGATCTTAGAAAAAACATCCCAAGTTACGGGAACAAATTCTAACATGAAAACTTTAGACCTAAATAAGTTCATATTGGAGATGGAAAGACTAAGGGTTAGACTCGACTTGGATCCCTAGAGAAACAAATAGGTGACAATTAATTAGCACACACAAGTATGGCTTCTATCACATAAGAACTAAACATTTCAGATAAATCCTTTAAAAATTATTGGATTATAGACTCAAGAACCATAGATCATAAGATCAATACTTAAAATATTTTTACATACATGTTCCATGTCCAAGTAACAAAAAGATTATTACTATAGATGATTCTCTTAATACCATTGTGGGCAAGGACAACATTTCTATTGTCCTTAAAAGTGTGTTGTATGTTCCTAAATTTTGTACTAACTTTGTGTCAGTAAATAAATTATTATAAATACTTGAATTACAAAGTAACATTTCATTCTTCTCAATGTAAATTTTAAGAGCAAAATTAGGGAAAAATGATTGAACTTGTTGAGACCATATATGGACTCTACCACTTAGATGCACCTAAGAGAATGTTTTTGGTCATTACCACCAACCCCATGCACAAAATTTAGTTCCATCATAAGAGACTTGGATACTCGTCCTTCTTTATTTTAAATGTTATGTTTCTTTTATTATATACAAATCCATAATATGAAAATTTACACAGTAATATTTGTGAATTTGTAAAAACTAAGCATGCAATTTTCATTTTAGTAATAAGAAAAGTTCAATTCTATTTATATTGATTTATAGTAATATTTAGGGGTCACCTCATATACCTAATATTTCTAGGACTCGATGATTTGTGTTATTTGTT